GAGGCCCAGTTTACAGATGACCCATAGTTAAGAACTGAGTCTACTGTAGCAAAATTCAAGTTAAAATACACAATGGTTGGAGTTCATTACACAATACTACTTATACAGTATTATACAATAATAATACTATTCCAGCTTACATACAAATTCGACTTAAGTACAGACCTTGAGAACTGAACTCGTTCTTAAACTAAGGACTACCTATATCATCAATTATGCTCTATCAAAGGCATATTCATAGATACAAGTACAGATTTTGGAAGGAAAGGCAATGGAAGCCTCCACCCCAGATAGTGGAAACACCAGTTCTGGGATAGAAAGCAGCCTTTGCCCTACTTCTTATGCATTCTCAGTAACAGGCCCTTTCTTCCTCTCATGCAAATTAATTAAGGATTTCAATTAAGTATGAGAATGAAAAAGAGCAGCCACAGCCAGTGCCATTGAGCCAGAGCATAACCTAAGGCAGTGTTTCTTAAACTTTTTGCTCTCAGGACCCCTTCCCACTTCCCAATTATCACATCTGTAGAATATTTATTTATTGAATCATGTAACAATAATATTAAGCCCATTGGATATTAACATAAATATTTTTCATGAAAAAAATCCTATTATTTTTTAACAAATGAAAAATAATAATAAGAATGAAATTGTTTTAAATTTTTGCAAATACCTTCAATATCTGGCAAATAATTTTGATTTTGCAAACCCCTGAGAGGGTCTTGGGGGACCCCCACGGGTTCTTGGAGCACACTTTAAAAAACATTAACCTAAGGTATTGCAGACATGCATGAAGTCAGAAACAGGCTTCCCTTACTTTTTGTCACTGCTTATAGCATCTAAACTTTTTTCAATAGAAGTCAACAGTAACCATTCAGTTCTATGGAGACAAATAATTTTAACCTAACATAGTGACAGGCATCTTGCAAATTATTTGAAATGGCAGTTTGCCTAGCAGTATACATGATATTACCACACTTTTATAGTAACAAGACCTAGTCAAATAAATATTATCAGCTTACTCATTTCATCTCCTTTATTGTCTGGGTTTAACTTGGCAACAACTGCCCAAGCTTATGTTTCAACAGTGCCTGGAAGCCCAATAATATTTTAGTGCTCAGCAAAACATGTGTATTAGCTTCCCTTGCATAACAAACAAGGAAATAGTGTATTACTCCCTCAGAGGGAAAGTACTGTGTAGTCTGACATACTTTAGAACAAAACAGGAATAAAGGCAATATTCGCTATCTTAAATTGCTGGTTTTAAGACTGAATCATGATACATTTTTATCACAGAGAACACACTGAGGCTATAAAAATCTGAGTATGGGAATAGGCAAGGCATACTGATACAGATTTATTTTAGGAGGTTACATACCAGGGAAGGCTTGAAAAAGAAATAGGAAATAACACTGAGTCTTGTACATCAGCCAGATCACTAAAGAATTTGACATCCTTTTTCCAGTCTCTCAACAACCTTTGCTATAAATACAGATACCAAATGAATGCAAGTCAGTAAGTACAAAAGCACATGATGAACAATGGCAATATCTTCAAGCAAGTCATTAATAGTAATCCAAAATCCATCTGGAAAGAGAAGAAAATAAGGCTTTATACTGTGCCCTTTTTATTTATTTATTAAATCTGTTACCCACCCCAATCAAATGTCTCTTGGCAGTTTACAGTATCATCCAATACATTAAAATATTCACAGTGTAATGTTAATGAAGGTAAAACTTGGAAAAATATGCATACAAAATGGAAAAACTACAAAAACAAACAAAAACAAACCCAGTAGATGATAATAATCACAGTGCAAACATTCTTCTAAATAACTCTGTTCTGAGCAGTTTATGACATGTTAATCAAGTGGGGGCTCATCATAACTCAGGGGAGAGGTATTCCATAAAACAGACACAGCAAAAGAGAAGCAGCACAGGTCGGTGGGTGAAGACTGGTTGAAGAAAATGTATCTTTTTTGATTCCTTATAAACACAAGGGCTTAAGTACAGATTCCAAACTGATAGCATTTCAGATCCTAATGTCTGCAAGGATCTCAGACTGCCTTCAAATGAATACTTGATTTATCCAAAATTAGCACAATGGGCAGCTTGCTAATAATTTTCAGCATCTTAATGTTTTAGCATATTCTGAAATAATGATTCCTATCAATCTTTTTTTAAAAGACTTTTACATAAGTCTATATTTATATATGAAAGTAAATTCTATTGAATTTAACTAAGAAGTGTTTTTGAATAAATAACTGTTAAGACAATTCCACACAAGAATAGCATCAATCTGAGAGTAGCTTCAGGCTTCTGTGTTCTCACACTATTAGCCAGAGAGCTTAACTGACTTATTTCCCTCTTAAATGCTATATATTGATACTGATGCAAAGCTAGCTTTAATTACTTATTTTGTGATACCGTGGATCCATTTTCCACTGGAGGAACTCCTTTCCTCACTCCTCTTTTCAGCTCCTGAATTTTAGATTCTAAGAAAGAATCTAAGAGCAATGAAAGGTTGATGGTTCTGAAGCTGCCCTTCAGTGAGACCAAACAAACTGAGCAGAGTGAAATTGACAAGAGAAGTAGAAAGTGCCAGGGGTATTTTTCCCCCTTTCCTTCTCTTTTGCATGGGATGAAGAATTTATTGCTGCAAATGTAGCAATCTGAGGCAGAACAGTGATTTTCTCTTCTTGTTTCCAGCATTAGAAATGAAGACAACGTTGATTGCCTGCAAACTGCTTCTGAAGGTGTGGAAATTCCCTTAAATTAGTATCAGTAATAAAGCTTTTTCTTGGAATATGAACTTATGGTTACAATTTCCCCAAATCCAGAGGAAATTCAAACATAAAACAATTTTGCCCATTCAACAATATTTCAACCTGGAGCTGGATCTGATGGCATAACTATATCCAGAGATCTGATAACAGGTATAAACAATAGTACTTCTGAAACTGAGAGGTGAGGAGGGAAGTACTAACATGATTCTGAAAAGAAAGGAATTGCTCTTTAAAGGCATGAAGAGGAACAAATGGTGCCAGGAGGTGGTTATCATACATACCATTAAGACATTATTCACATTACATTATATTCTGATAAACAGCAGCGTAGCATTGAGGCAGCCTCTTACCCCTTTGATTTGCAATCAATCCCCATCCCAACAAATGCAACAAATACACCACAGCAAGCATGTGGCACACAGGAAAACTTCTACTGGTACAAAATCTGAAACATACATATTATCAACAAAATATCTTAGAAAGAATAAAGGTGGAAAATAGTTCTTTACTATCTTCATGAGAAAGAAAGTAAGCATTCATACCGAAGGGAGTTATTCTTCTAAAACAGAATTCAAACCAAAAGTTTGCAATCACAAGCTATGAGAAGACACTTCAGCATTTTCGGAGATAATTGCCACTACTCAGTCCATAAAAGTACAATACAGAACTGAAAATTTAGTATTATAATTTTTAACTTGAATAAAGAAATAAGCAAAGCCAACATGAAGATATGTTCATGGGAAAAAGGAGAGAGAAGCATGAGGGTGCCTGCACTTTGCAACTGCACAGAATGATAAAGCAACTGTTTCCAGAAGGTGGGCTGGAAGCAGAGAATATCAGTAAATGGCAACCCTTAAAAAAAGGGCAAGAAAGGTGATTCACAAATCAGATAAATGAGACCCACTGACGTTCCAAAAGCAAGCGCATCTTGCCACGTTAATAAGACAATTTAAGGTATCCCATACAAAGCACACAAAACACTATGCTAGGACTATTGCAAAGAGAAGCCAGGGTGGGGTTATGCAGTTGATTAAGGTATGTCAGAAAGTGGTACACAGTTTTCTGCTTTACTTCCAGCTTCATCGGGCAGCTACAGCCAGATCCTAAAAGCTGGATAGTATGGGGAGAAAATCTATCAGAGTAGAGACGCTCTAACTGCAACATTTTAAAAGCTGGTTGGCTTGGGAAGGGAAGTTGGCGATCTGTGTACCTGATGATGCTCCAGAACGAAGGGATGGAAATGTGAGTACGTGGGAAGGATAGGAAATAAGGTGAAGCAATTCCCCCTCACCCCAGCTGGAAAGGACTCAGCGGGAGGGGGAAGAGCGATCCTAGCCAGCCCGGGCAGAAGGGGATCCATCCGATTTGCTTTGTCTCTTGGCAGGAGAGGGAGATGGGAAGGAAGGAAATTTCGCAGGGAAAGAGGCAACGCAGACGAAGTACAGCAGAAGATGTGGAGGTGAAGCTGGAGAGGTGAGTTGGAAGAGGCGCGGGAGAGCCAGGAGACAGGCGCGCGTGGGGCGGGGAAGGCTTTTTCCTTACCGTAGACCCGTAGCCAGCCCTGCCGCTGACAGACCGATTCCCTCAGGATCCGCTCCAGAGTGCTGGCCGCCCCAACGAGGTCCGCGGGTCCGGGTAGAGAATTCTTCAGACGTTCCAGGCAGGAATCCCCCCCTTCCCCGGCCGGCTCCATCTGCTGCTGCCGCTGCTGCCGCCGCCCCACGGCAGGGTCAGCCACGACCGAAGCCCCTTCAGCCCGTCACTTCCTCGGTCCCCCACAGCCTTGCCCCGGCTGGCGGGGCCCGCCCCCTTCCCGGTCACTGGGTGCGAGCGCGCCGCTGCTCCATCCCGAGGCCGCCTCCTGGGACGAGCTCGTTCGGCGTCCCTCTCCCAGCCCGCACTCGGAGCTCCGTCGCCCCGTGCACGGCTTCTCCCTCAGCCCCGGCGGCATCCCAGGGAGGAGCAATGGAGCACCGAGCCCTCAGCCAGCTAGCCGACCTCCTAGCTCCAGGCAGGCACGGGTGGACAGTCGCCGGTTGCGAAGGAGAATCTCGGCCAGGCGTACTCAATCGCCCATCGACATCTACCTCCACGCCCTCCTCGGCTCCCAAGCAATCGTCGTCATCTTCTTCTAGCCGCTGATTGGGTGTATGCAAATGAGGCAGAGGGCCCTGATGGGACTGCTAGGCTTCGGGTTGATTTTTTTCTTCGCGTTCGCTCAAGTACTTTGCTTTGTCTTGGCTAATGTCCCAGGTAGACGAGAAGGTACACTGAACGCACTCCTAGTCGGCTCACGCACCAAAATGCAAGATGGAGTAGGAAGTTTTGTACTCAAAACTGCTGTCGCGATTCTGGTGTTCGCAGGGAGCTGTGACCGTCTCGTGCGGCAAAAGGTGTAGTCTTCTGTCATTTCGGAAACGGATTGATTCTGGCATCAACTTTTCTAAATGAAATCCTCTCCAGAAAAGCAAAGCTTTGAAAAGAAGTGTGCACGCAGAAATGCATAATTATAACCACTGCTGTTTTTCTGGGGAAAGGAGGGAGACAGACATAGGTGGATCAAATGCAAAATCAAGCGCGTTCATTATAACTTGTATGCGTCTCTTTGCAGTGAAACACCGCGAAGAAGCAAATTGTTTGGATGCCACCTTGCACTTTTCCAAAAGTGGAAAAGCAACAGTCTAAAAAAACAGGCAGGTGGCTGGACACTCAGCCTTTGTCTCTGGTTTTCTCTCAAAAGCATTTGCCTCACAAAGACCAGGTTCTTTCTCCTTTTATATGAGGTAATTGCTACATGGGCATAACTAGCGCTAACATAGCTCTAAATTTCAGAGGTCTGTTGCTATCATTCATGTTTTCACAATCCTGTTCTGAAATGATGAAGGGGAAGGTCTTTCTCTGAAGAGCAATGATAAAGCAGTTGGCTTGAATAAAGTCCTAGATTCACTCCCTGGCATTTCCCAGTAGAATCGGGGAAAAACATCTGCCTGAAGAGCTGCTGATCAAATGCCAAGTTTGTTTATCTGACCTCCTTGGAAGGGACTGGGTAGCCCAACCAAGAGCCAGAATTCCAGGACTTCCTGCCAGAGGATGGACAAGACAGACAAAAATGGGGGGAGGCTAGAAATCCAGTCATGAGACCAAAACTTGCTAAAGGAAAATGTGTAACTGTAAAATGCTGTGCGTTTGTAATTCACAGGTATGGCACAGCTGCTACAACATCCACAGGCATTTTCCTATGTATGTGTATAAATATGTGTACGTAATTCATTGCTCACAGTTGTTTTCTACCATATTTAGAAGTTTACACTAACATAGTAATTTTTAAATACCTTGTACAAAAAGCATTAGGTGAAAAGCTGTAGATAAGTTTGCTGGCTACCGATTTAATTGCATTTCAGCTTGTTCTTGGGAAGTCACACACAGTGATTGGGACAAATGTTAAGAGCTCATTTTCCTGAAGGTAGTCCCATTTCTCCTGCAAGTTTTTGATGTGTAGATCAAGATTATTTGATTAGGCTTCTCTTTTCATTTGAAATCTTAGTGGGAAGACAAAGATTAATATCAGGGCACTGATTTAGGATACTGTATTTCTAATTTTTGATATTAGCTGTAAGGAGGCAGAGAACACATAGTCCAACTTAGGGAAACCAAGAACCTGGTCTTAAGTGGTTCTCTGAGGTTGGCTGGCTTCTCATTACGATGATTCATTTAGATAGGCAATTTCCTTCTGCTCAGAGCTTGCTAATTTTGTTCCAGAGAGTCGTCTTATATTTAGTAGAATCTTTAAATAGCTTCAAGGACTCTTATTTCATTAGAAACAGATAGCAAGTATGTGTGCAGTACAATTTTGAACTTCTGCATGTTCTTTGATTTTAGCCTTACTCTGTCATCCAAACCCTAAATTGCTGCTGTCTTGGATCCTTTTAAATTGGAAGTGATATCTTAGGACTGATTTAAGTTACATATGTGTAGTAAACATGTGACTGGGATCACTTATTTCACTAAGCTATTTTATGACTTGTTTGCTTTTGGCTCAGTGTATTGTAGAAAGCAAGATATTGTGGTTTGTAAATCTGTTTAAAAGCTTAGTGTGTTGTGCACATCCAACTGTGGTTCATTCAATAAACTATGGTTGTGCAAGCCCTTGTTTAGAACAATGTATTAATACTTAATGTTTACAGTTATAGAAAGCATTTTGGTTCTGATAGTTTTTCATGTAAATTTCAACAGTCAAGGAAATATTAGCAGTAGATAGAGGGACTTGAGATTAGAAGATGAGGTCTGATACCTCCTAAACTGACCCAGGCTTCTTATGAATTTAACACTTGGTAGAGCTTAAATGACTGACTGGGTTGGGAGATATTTGGATAAGGTTTACTACATTAAAGTGTCCTTTTTAATTTTGTTTCTCAGTGATCGATGAAATCTAAGATTCCAGATACCACAATAACATCTGTTAAAACTTGAGAAATGTTTTACTACTGTGTATGTGGTGGGGTGGTATCAATATACAGTATATAGATAAGCTTACAATATTGAGCATACAAATATTGAACATGCATATTAAATGTCATTGTCTGTCAAATACCAGAAGCTATTAAGTGCAGACATGTAGTACAATATATCAAATGTTAGGTGACAAATCAAATGCTAATGTGCAATGCAACTGTTTGCATGTTAAATTCAATGAGGCTAATTCCTACTCCAGGTTAGTGGTAGAACTGCATGATTTTTAACTGGTACAATATTTAGTATCAGAATAAAAATCTCCAAAGGATTTGGATAAAGATTAACAGAAACAAATCATTTATTATTCAATGTAGTAACATCAAAAGAAATATGTAGAAACAGTTATTACTACTAAATGTATATCCTGGCTTTATTTTATAGAATTCAAGATGGTATACATAATACTCCCACCTATCCTCCCCACAACAACAATCCTATGAGGTGGGGTTTGGCTGAGAGTGAGTGACTGACCTCACCCTGTCTAAGGGATGAAACTCATCATCTCCCACTTTCTAGTCTAGCACCTTAAGCACTACACCACACTGGCCCTCCCACAATTAATGAGGAGGAAATGAGGACTTTGTGTTGTACCTCTGGTGGGTTTAAATCATTATAAGCCATTTGGAAATTAATTTTGGCTGATTTTATAAATAATGAGCTAATAGTATGAGTGCACACATACACTAATCCATGGCTTAACCAGGGTTTATTTAATAAACCACAGTTGCCAGGATTCTCACAACATAATAAGCCAAAGCCAAGCTAATCACATTGTGGCTTAGAACTGTGGTTGTGTAGTTGAACAATCATGTCAATTAATTAGAAAAATTAGCCGGATCTGTACCATCCCACCCATATTCATTCATTCATTCATTCATTCATTCATTCATTCATTCATTCATTCATTCATGTTCTTATAACAATACTATTTTGTTGGCCAAGTAAAGAAATTACCATCTTACTAAACCTGAATATGCAACTTAATTATCAGCTGGCTCTCCCAGGACTAGAATGGAGATCTACAGTGTTTTCCTCCTAGGACAGTTCTAAAGAAAAGCTTTAGAACTAAAGATGCATTTTATTCCTGATATTCTCCAAATGTGTTGGGACTACAAGTTCCAGAATTCCTAGCCCCCAAAAATTCAATCAATGGTCTTCAACTACAAGGAGGTTCTGCAAATTTTCAGATTTGAGCATCTCTGATTTTGTAGGTGCCATAAATAAATATTTTAAAAGTTCAAAAATATATGTGGACAATCTTTTTTTTTTAATTTGGAGGCCAGCAAACATCTTTTAAGATGCTCTGGGTCCTTCATTGCCAATACTTTAATTACAGGAAGCCAGATACATTTGAATAGTAGAAATATGGTAGATTCCTCACTCCCCCATATTCAAGGAGAAATTAGAAAATTATCTGTCAGGGATGCTTCAGTTTGGATTCTTGCACTGACAAGAGGGTGATGCTTTAGTGAGTTGCAATTCTCCATGCATCCTTAGGACAGCACTTTTAAAGTGTGGTCCAAGGACCCCTGGGGGGGTGGTCTGTGAAATCAAAATTATTTGCCAGATATTGAGTATATTTGCAAAAATTGAAAACAATGTCACTCTTGTCATTATTATTTTTTATTTGTTAAAAAATATAGGTTTTTTATGAAAAATATTTTTTATGTTAATATCTAATACAGTTATTGTACTATGGTTATTTTTACATGATTAAATAATATTCTACGAATGCATCAATTTTAATTTATAATATGGTAAATATCGATAAATATAGCCCATACAAACAAAAGCTGTTTGGGGGTCCTCTGCTATTTTTAAAAGTCAGAAGGGGTCCTGAGAGAAAAAAGTTTAAGAAACACTGCTCTAGGACATTCCTATTTATGCAGTCTTCCCTGGAAGGCCCAATAATTCTGCTAACAATCTATTTTCTCCAAGAGGGTGAAAAATTTAACAAAAACATACATTATCACCATCTTAATTTGTGCTTATATGATTTACACCATCCCTGTCTTTCTGTTGGGTTTTGGATTGTATTACATATTAGTCTTGATCATTTGATGGAAAGTGACTAATAAATATAGAAAGAAAATCATTAGAAAATTACTGTATTTACCTAAAAGGCAGATTTACTCCATTGTAAAAGTAAAGTTTTTCTCCAAAGACTTTACCTTTACAACGGCAATACCATCTCAGATTTGCTGAGAAACAATAGTAGAGGCAGATTTTTAAATTGTTTTTTGTCTAATCCACAGTATCTTCAAGTTAAAAGGCTGCAGGAAAATGAGAGAATTGTTCCTACTAGTCCAGGCAGAAACTGGAGTTTTATAATCTGATTCCAGGTTTTGGACGAATATTTGACAAAGCAATCAGTGGGCATCTTCTTCTCATTCTTCTTAGCAGTCTGCCAAAAGTATAACTGAAGAGTGAGCAGGCTTTATATGAATGCACTTCTCTTCCTTGCCACTAGTGTTCATTCATTTTGGTCCAGAAAGAAAGCGAAAAGATCAGGCAGGGAAGCAAGTATGATGGCAAGGAAGAACTCAGGTCTAGGAGAGCATTTATCTGTCATAGGGCCACTGAGTTACTGTATGGCTTTTATCAGGTGCTCAGCTATGCTAACCTCTGACACCAGCTCTGTGACTTAGAATAAAACATACACGTAACAGATTTTATATTCTTTCGAGCTGCCCTCTGTGTCTCCCGCCCAAGAATTAAGAAGCTGGCTCTTATAGAACAACTTTCATTATATTTCTTTGATAGGAGAGACAACATTTTTGAGTCTGCTGCATCTTTCTTGGCTCCCTTCAGAATGGATATACTGCAAGGGTTAAGCTGGGTAAGAACTGTGTCTGAATATGCATATATCATTTCTTATTCTGATATTCATTATCTGCAAAGCAAGTGTGATATTGCAATATATTTTTCATTTTTCTCTCTTCTTTTATCCCACCCCCATCCAATTTTTGAAAGCAGGTATAGAGATTGAATTGGTTTATGTAGTTGAATCGCAATGTGCAATATCTGCTGGGAGATATCATTTATAAAAATACGAAATCAGATGAGAGTTGAAGGAAGGACACAGTCAATGTGGAGTGGCTCTAAGAAGAAAGGATGAGCTCACCTTCAAAAAGCCTCTTATTTCTGCCACTGGGTCCTGGGATCTTGCCACAGTACCAAATAGGCGAGAGTGGATTTCAGAACTGCCCTGCCTTGCCAGACCAACACAGTTGACCACTAAGGATTTCATCCCCTGAAATGCTACCATGTTATCCCTGTTAGGAAACATCCCCAGAAGTGGAGCCTTAGGCTAGATACTGGAAAGTTATTGTCACTTTCTTTTGTTAGTCACATATAAGAAAAAGGAGGGAGGGGTTACAGGGATTGGAAACAGAAGGCTGATTAATTTTGCTTCCTGCATCACCTTGGTTGGAAGTGCTGCAGCTTGATGCCAGGGTGCCTTTATGGATCATCACAAGGCCCAGCAGCTGATCCACTTGTGCTGTAAGCAAGGAAGGATTGCTTGCAGACAGTCCCTAATCCCACTCTTTTTCTTTTTCCCAGTTCCCAGAAAATATGCCTCTGAAGGTCAGAGCAAACTCCCTAAAATATCCCCGACACCCTCTCCTCACTAATCTCTTGGTTCCTAATCTCTTGGCTCTGCCCAGTTCTGTGACAACATCATGTTGCTGTCCTACGCAACGCAGCTCTTGGCTGCCAAAATGTTTTTTAGTAATGTGGGCTCCCAGGAATCTGTGAAAAGATTCCCTGCTCGGGCTAAATAATGCATCAGGCCTCCTGCTTTCCCTTCTTTCTCAGTAACTTGTCTAGGGCTGAGGAGATACCATCCAAATGTTCTTAAAATGCAATTCAGTATTTCTGACCAATAGCCATGTGCCTGGAGCTTTTTACAGTTGGAGCCCAAAATACTTCGAGTGCACAAATTGTGTCTTTTTGTGCTAGATTGAGTTCCTGGTCTTCATGCTTCTTCACAGTCTGCTTCTGGAACCTGACCCTTTGCTCCCTTAAATTGTGCTGCTTGTGACATTTGCATTATTGGCTCTTGTTCCTGGAAACTGCTTCTTTTCTTGCTGTAGAATATTACAGTTGGTTAACTGTTTCCTCCTCTAGTTTCATTTATGATGTCAGCCTCCTGTCAAGCCCAGCACAGTGATTGGGTTTACACATTGTGCTAAACCATGGTTTGTTTTAAGCCCTGATTTGTAAATTACTTCCATACTGTTCCTAAGTAAACTGCATGGACATTTCCATCAGGAGTCAAGGTTGTCTTTACTTTGTTGAATCAGTCACAGGTTCAGATGTCATGCTAAGGAATAAATCATGGTTTACAAAGTCTACATGACACACTAAGCCAGCATCAAATACATTTATGTCTTAATGCAATATATAAACCCAGTCATTGTAAAGAAATTATAATACAGTAGAAATAACTGTCTCAGAAGGTGGCAGCAGCTGGCCAACCTTATCTGACCTTGGTTAGTACGTGGATGGGAGACCACCGGGTAGTCCCAGGGCTGAGGATTAGACTGGGAAATGGAAAAGAAAGATCCAGAAGACAACAATGGCAAATCATTAATATAATAATAAACTAATAATAATAAACTAATAAAAATAAAAAAAATAAAAAATAAATAAAACTAAACTGTGTAAACTTACAACAGTAAGCTTGATTTCTTGGTCATTACAAAGGCAAATCCATCCAATGCATGGATATGCCTTTGTAATAACCAAGAAATCAAACTTCAGAGCATCTTTACTTACTGATAGAAGTAACTGCATTATTATAGGAGCTATAACAGCAATGTGTGTACTCATTGCTTAAAGGAAAAAATCAGGTTTGCAGGAGGATACCAAAGTAACTTACGTTCTCCATACTTAATAGAAATTTGTGACTACTAAACATTAAGTACATGAAGTGAATGTGTCCCCTCCCCCAATTTTGCTTCATTTATTCTGCTTCTGCTATTCTCCAGTGATATTTCATTTATTTACATTACACTAATATACTAGCTGAGTTTTGTATCTCTACTATAAAAACATGAAATGTAAAAAATGTAAAAAATGATTTTTAGTTTCCCCTCCTTCCTGTATATCAGGAGTTTTACTTCAATAGAACCTCTATTTGTTGCCGTTTCTTGTCATTAAGAGCACTTCCCCACTTTCCACCAATTCAGAATTTACTCTGGATCCCAGCACTCCCATAATATCATAGGTATTTAAAGGCTAATGGTTGTTTGTTGCTGTTGCTCACTGATTTATCTAAAACCAGATCAAAGCTGGTCTTTTCTTTTGCAATGCTGCAGAGCATGCGGACATTTATTTTCCCATTGTGGGAACGATTACATCTCTCCACCTTTCAGCCCTGACCTTTGGTGTCCTGTTCCTGGTGCCCACGTGAAGAGGCATTGTTTATAATGTATTCCCCCTAATCTGTCACAAGTTGCAAGAAAAGGAAAGTCAGCTTTGCAGAAGGCTTTTCATCATAGCAACCATGAAGGATTTCTTTGCCGATGACCATACACATGGATGCAGTGTGAAGTAGAAATGGAGGAGGGGTGCTAGCAATGGGCTGAATTTCCTGTTCGTGGAATGGAAAGGAGGGTGAGGGGATTTTTGCCACATCAGGATCTGCAATAATTCACGGGTGGGACAGTGGGTGACAATTCTCACCCACTCCTATTGGCCAGTTGCAAGGAAGACTGCTGGCTCAGGACATCCATTCCCTGCAGTATCTGGGTGTCCTGAATTGGCAGAACTGAAGATGAACACAGATCTACTACAAACTGCATTCGAGTGACAGGGAAATGGAAATGGTGCAGATGTGGAAGTGCCCTGAGTAAAAACAGACAATATAAGTTTGTGCTATCATAAATCTATTCAGTCCTATATTCTAAGATGATAAAGAGATGTTCTTGTGTAACACTCCATCTTATATCAGAAATCACAAGCAGTATACATTTATTTATTTACTGAATTTAAACCCACCTTTCCTTCTTGCCAACAAGTTCTCTAATTTCTCAAGACCATAGTGAGTTGTTATATTTGAACCAGCAAGCTATGGTTTATGGTTTCCCTTCACACCAGGGATTCAAACCAGCATTGCAATTTATACTTATAATTGGGAAGACAAAGCAACCCACAGGCTTCAATTTTTTAATTTATTTTTTAAAAATTTTTATTACAAAAAGAAAAAAAATACATAAAATGTTTTAACAAAAAAGTGAAAAAATGCAAGAGAAAAAAGTGTTAATATATCATAACAATAAACATTAAAATTCTATATATGCTTATCTAATACAAATATTATTCAAATACATATATATCTAATTTTTTTTTAATCTACTATATTTTGTATAATAATGTCAGAAAGTGAAGAACTAAAGAGCCTCTTGATGAGAGTGAAAGA